GGTGGCTATGGTGGCTATGGTGGCTATGGTTATGGCTGTTGCCGCCCCCTGTGCTGTAGAAGATACTGGTCCTATGGCTTCTACTGAGGAATTTCCACAGCTTCTTAGCCTGTAGGCTATAACTTCTTTACTAGAATTAGCTCCAATTTCCTTCACATGAAAAACATGTCTTCAAAAACACCAACTATATAGAAAATTATCTAAAAAAATTAAATTCAGCAAGACATTTTTACTTAGTATCATTTTGATTATGTGATATTGTGGAAACGTTTCTGTATTATTCTTATGCTTTATAAGATGTGATCAAATTTGACTCTCATTTTTGTATAAAAAGATACATCATTAAATAAAACCGTTTCATCAGAAATTTTGCTTTGTACTGTGCTTCCAAACTATTAGTTTTGCTTCTATACTTGTGTATTTCTGTATGATTAGTTGTATGTGTGCAGCTGTGGTGTTTGAGTAAGACATACAGAGAGAAAGACAGAAAGGAGGGAGCCCTTTTTAGATAATTAGGTGTCTAAACTTATTGGGTAAAACTATGAGCTCCTTACCACAGAGCGTGCAAACTTGTTTTGCACATGTCTTTTAATCTTTCTTACCATTTGTGTTTGCTCCTGTTCTTCTCATCAGAGTTTTTTTTTTTAAGTGGCTATTTCTACAATAGGATCTACAATAAGATTCATAGCAGACCATTTAAAACTGCATCTTTGTTTCATGTCTTTTGCAACCCCAGTGGTTGGATTATAGCACTAGTGTTCTGACTCTGTCAAGTATTTTTTTTAAAAAAGTTCTGCATAGTAGATAATTTTAGGTGTTGTCCTAGGCACATTTCTTATCGCTTAGACAGAAAACATGCCACTCACAGCACAGAAGAGGATAGGTTTATTTTGGCTGATGCACAGCAGACTCCAATGCAGAAATAGCATGGTGCCAACACCTGGACAAGCATAAGCTGTTCATCTCATGACAAGAAAAAGCAGAGAGAGAACAGGGGAGCCCAGCAGGGGGGCAGAGCTTTCAAGCCCACACTCAGAGACCAGCCTCTAATGAGGCTCCCATCTCCTAACAGCGCCCCCAGCTTCTGAAACATTAGTAAGCAAATACACGGGGAAGTAGAGCACCATAATCCCCTCACCCTTCATAAGCTCTGCCTCTGACTGTATCACTTGCTGACGTCCTCTGTCATCCTCTGAGGCTTACACAGATACCTTGTAATCAGTTCCATAAATGCTGCATGCACTGTTTTCTTAGGTTGGGTTTGATCTCGTGTTTGTATCCATTTGTCAACTTTATGAATTATATTTTTAGGTCCACTGTGCCCTTGCTTATTTCTATTTTTATTAGCTCATTCTCTCAGTTATCAAGGTATGTATTCTATTTCAGACAATCATAATTGTGGCAAATATTTTGCTTACCACTTTAGCTGTGTTATTTATACTATATCAAGTAAAAGTTGTTTAAGGTTTCCTGATGAATCAGCCCCACAACAATTATAATAGCTTCTTCTTTATTTCTGGCAGTTTTATTACCTTCAACTCTATCATGTTTGATATTAACATAGCCACAATGCTTTTATCTTATCTATTTGCAATACAGAGCTTTTCTCTCTTCTTACTTTCCTGATATATGATAGAACTCCGCCTAGTCTAAACAGTCGGATATTGCATTTTTCTAAGTCTGCAATTATTTTTATGAAGTATTTAATTCATTTATATTACTGATGTATTTGGGCTTCACTCTAACACTCTTCTATCTGTATTATGTTTAGTTTAATGGTTTTGTTTCATTTCTTCTGTTTGTTTTCCTTGACATATTTAATTGTATTCCATTTTCCCTCTCAACCTGAAAGTATTTATCCTCTTACATTTCTTATAGTGGCTCCCTAGAGAATAAAGCATGTGTTCCTTACTTACTGTATCCTATCAGAAATTAGCATTTTTACTATGTACTTATATAGTGCTAGAGCCTTAAAACGTACTAACCAAAATTACACTACAGTCTTTGTATTATTGCTGCAAGTGTGCCGGTTTCACATATATTTTTGTTCCACAGAGGAGATGGTGATGATGATGATGATGATGATTTATGTAGACAGTATCCACTTGTATTTGTTCATACAAATACAAATGTTTACACATTCCTTGCTCCCTACTTAATTTTTGTGATTCTCACTGAATTCATTTTCTTTCTGTTTAAAGAATTTCATTTAGAGGGGCTGGGGACTTAGCTCAGCGGCAAAAGCGCCTGCCTGGCAAGTGCAAGGTCGTGAGTTCGGTTCCCGGTACCGGAGAAAAACCAAAAAAAAAAAAAAAAAAAAAAAAAAGAATTTCATTTAGTACTTCTTAAAGTGCAAGTCTATTAATGACAAATTCCCTTAGTATCTATTTCCCTGGAATTATACTTATTTTTCTTCACATACATATGTAACTTAACTCCCTTAATGGCAATAATTTCACTAAGCATATTTTTAAAAGATCATTTAGAAGAAGAAATTTGATTTGCAATATAATTTAAATGTAGGCATTAGTTTGCACATAATTTTATAAATTGCATCTCCATAATAATACTTTGTGCAATGCAAAATATTACTGAATACACTGAGTGGGACTTGGAAGAAAAATGCAAAATATTCTGGGTATTGCTGGTAAGAAAAGATTCAATTAAGAAAAATAGTACCTTAATTAACCATCAGACTGTCAGGAAGAAAAAGGTGAAGACATGTTCACCTCGGGCTCAGAATTACTCTTACGTTTTGGTGAGTAAGGAAGTTGCCGGAAGCACAGGTTATTCTCAGCAAAGCAACCACTACTTCATGTAAAAGCTCACGTATTCCAAAAGCCATATATGACCCCACTGCTGTTATCTGATAATATGGCTCTCTCCTCTTTAACCAATCATGCTCAATTTTGACCAAGAGTCTGTCTTTCAAGTAGTTTGTCTTGAAATGCTTCTGGAGGGAGACTTAGAAATGGAGTTTCCAGGATCTGTGCTAAATAAAAGAAAATGGAGAGCCGGGTGTGGTGGCGCACACCTGTAATCCCAGCACTTGGGAAGCTGAGGCAGGAGGATCGTTGCGAGTTCAAGGCCAGCCTGGGCTACAAAGTGAGCTCAAGTGAGCCTGAACTGCATAGTGAGACCCTGTCTCAAAAAGACAAAAAAAAAAAAGAAAAGAAAAGAAACTGGAAAGGAGAGAATAACATGGTGGGGCTTTCAGAAAACATAGTAACATAGGTTTCACCGAGATGAGAGTGTTTTCTCATCTTTGTCTCAGCATTCCTTGTTGCTTTACATGAATCCTAATTAAAATCCTGAATACATTTATTTGTTAGTTTGTTTTCTTGCTTGCTGCTTGCTTTTTTGTTTGTTTTCTTGGTAGTAGTAGGTATTGAATCCAGGCTATTCATGGTGACCTACATCCACAGCCCTTTTATTCTTTATTTTGAGAGAGTTTCACTAAGTTGCACAAGCTAGGCTTGAACTTGTGATCCTCCGTGCTGAGCCTCCTGGAGTGCTCAGATTACAGCTGTTCACCAGGAAGCCCAGCTGAGAATCCTAAGTTTGGAAAGAAGTCTTTGCCTCATTATGACATAAGACTTTACAAGGCCATAAATATAGATCTAGCTCATAAAACATTTAAAATCTGCCTCTAGAGACAAACAAGTATACAATGGAAAAGGACTCATAAGTACACAGTACAGTGCATATTGAATCAAAAAGCTCCCCAATGCACAAAGATGACACAAGTCGAAATAAAAATGATGATATCTATTTATATGGTTTTATGGGACAAAAAGCCTATAAATGAATTAACACACATAAGAAACCTATATCTAGGGTAGAGTATTTGCATTTAAAAATTTTGAAATCGTAGAAGATAGTTATCCATTTGTAATAACATTGTTTTTCCTTCCACAAACATACATTCATATATCAAGATGTTTATGATTCTATATTACACAATTTTTAATTGAATAAAAATAAATGTCAGAGAAAATGTGATTTAAGAATTTCCCAAAAAGATGACTCTCGGACTCTGTACAAAATCACAATGAATAAGGGATGTCTGCACGGGCTAAGAATTGTTCATGAAAGACAGTTTGTTTGACTACAGGACTCTTGAGAGAAATACACGTGTCCCTTATTTATTAAGTTTTCTCTTCCCAGCAAACAATGAAGTCAAGAAATTTCAATCAAAAATTAGTCAAGAATATGAAGCCAAACCTTCCTTTGGTTTGCTCCACCTTCCCCTGGGATATAAAGCATTCCATCTTCATACAGTGAATTTTTGAACTCAGAAAACTAGGTCTTAGCCACTCCATGAAACCTACAACTCTTGCCCAAGTGCGCTGTAGTAGCCTATACTGTAAGAGCCAGGTTTTGGCTCCAACTACTGCCATTCATTTTGCTTCTGCCAAGTCAGATTCTACTGAAAAACTTCTAAAGCCATTTGGACTACTGTCTCCTACATTCAAGGTATAAGATATTTGTACTAAGTGCCTTTTATCCCCGTCTTACAGAAGTGAAAATATTACACTATTACTGAAAAGTAAAACAGAAACATAATGCTCTTGATCCAGTGTGTTTCAAATACATTAAAGAAAACTACACTGAATATCTCATTTTTCGTAACTTCCCCATATTTGCATATGACATTTTTATGCTTCTTTATAATTTACATAATATTTAAGTCATTTTTTAATCATCTGTAAACAATGTTATTTTCGGGTTTTTTTGCTTTGTATAATAGGTTTATTTATCATATATGTTTAATTGTGACAATTAAAGATGAAAAAAGGGAAGAGGAAACTTTTGAGGATTTTTCTCTTGCAGGAAGATGTGTCTACACAAGGGGACTACATGATCTTTCTGTGTCCATATAAATCCGTTGTATTTGGGGCACCTCCAGGCATTGCGAACATCCACATTTTTCTGGGTAAAAGACTGAGCCTCATGTACTGTGGTATTTTTCCCAGTACAATTCACAAGTTGATTATCATGGACTCTTCCTCTGGGTCTCTGTTTTAATTGCTGCTAGTCTACACCATGTGGAGTGCGTCTATCTGCTGGTGGTTCTCATGTCCTCT